ACATTGATCCTTACCTGGAGGTGTTGAGGTGGTATTCACTGATGGGGCAGGCGTTGCTGCAGTTTGGTTGTTGCTTCCTGAGGAAGAGAAGAGAAGAAACGTGGCAGCACTGCTTAGCATTGCCTTTTGGAAAAGCCTTGGGGAGCTCTGTGTGTACAGGACAACATCTGAGCACGTAGCTAGTGGGGGACCAGTGAGGGGCTCAGCAGCCAAAGCCCTGAGCAGACTTGTCCTGCCTTTGGGCACTCCCTCCATGTGATTCCTGTGTCATCTGATGTGTCTGTGACCCCTTGTCCCACAACTGCCAGGACATGAACAAGTGCCCCACAGAGGCACTGCCTTGCCCCCAGATTGGCTGTGCTCCCTGGGCACAGCTGTCTCAGCCACAGCCACACACGTGTTCCCCCTGGCAGGAATGCTCCCCCATCTGCCCAAGGAAGCACAGCATGGCCGGGAGCATCTTTCAGAAGAGCTCGAGCTGGGCCATCAGGCTCGTACAGCCTTGCCCGTGCTCCAACCAACCGCAGGCACAACTCCCTTTAGGATGCCAGCAGGGACTGCCCTGGGCATGTCTTTGCAGGGATCCTCTTGCTATCAGGCCTGGTATAGGAGGCAAGAGCAGCAAGCAAGGAAAAGGCTTGCCTCCTCAAATCTTGCTCCCTGAGGCAGAGAACCAAGGAAAGGAGGAGGAGTCGAGGGTATTCCCAGCTTTGATCTGGGCACTTTTGTCTCCTGTGGGAGAGGATCTCAGGGAAACCTGGGCACAATCACTCATCCCTCTCTGGGGACACTGCAGAGCTCCCTGGCATTCTGTTACTCCCATCTGTGCCCAGAAGGGGCCACCTGAAGACATTGATCCTTACCTGGAGGTGTTGAGGTGGTATTCACTGATGGGGCAGGCGTTGCTGCAGTCTGGTTGTTGCTTCCTGAGGAAGAGAACAGAAGAAACGTGGCAGCACTGCTTAGCATTGCCTGTTGGAAAAGCCTTGGGGAGCTCTGTGCATGCAGGACAACCACTGAGCATATAAGTGGTGGGGGACCAGTGAGGGGCTAAGCAGGCAAAGCCCTGAGCAGCCTTGCCCTGCCTTTCGGCACTGCCTGCATGTGATTCCTGTTTCATCTGATGTGTCTGTGACCCCTTGTCCCACAAATGCCAGGACATGAACAAGTGCCCCACACAGACAGTGCATTGCTACCAGGTTAGCTGTGCTCCCTGGCCACAGCTGTCTCAGCCACAACCACACACGTGTTCCTCTTTGCTGGATAGATCCATATATCCACCCAAGGAAGCACCACAGGGCCGGGAACATCTATCAGAAGAGCTCGAGCTGGGCCATCAGGCTTGTACAGCCTGCACACCATCCACTCCCTGTAGGGGCCTTCTCCCCAGGATCATTCCACTGAAAGTTGGAGGCACAGGGTCATTGACTATGCTGGATAATTGTGACTGGAAAATTAGAATCTGGCAGGAAGGATGCAATCCTCCATAGCCCTCACGCAGGAAAAGCTGAGGGACTGGGGAGGCTGCCCCTCCTCTGCGTGACCCCAGCCGGTGTTTCAACCTTGCTGGGTTGAAATGGGGAGTTGGCAGGAAGGTTGCAATCCTCCAAGGCCCCCATGCAGGAAGAGCTCCACTGCGTGACCCCAGCAGGATGTTCAACCCACCAGGATGCAGCTCCTCAGCACCACACTGGGACAGGCAGCTTGGCCAGGATGGAGGATGAAAGGGAGGGACTGCTCCCTGGTGCCCAAACACGGTCCTTGGCCTCAGCCTCGTGCTGCTGTGTGGCCCAGCTCACTCCCTGCCATGCTCCAACCAACCTCAGGCACAATTCCCTTTAGGGCACCAGCAGGGACTTGCTTGGACATGTCTTGGCAGGGATACTCTTGCACCAAGGCCAGGTACAGGAGGTGAGAGCAGCAAGCAGGAAAAGAGTGCTCGCCTCTGATCTTCCCCAACATTTGAATCTTGCAGCAAGGAGCAGCAGGAAAATGAGGAAGAGTCGAAGGTATTCACAGCTTTGATCAGGGAACCTTTGTCTCCCCTGGGAGAGCATCTCAGGGAAACCTGGGCACAGGCACTCATCCCTCTCTGGGGGCACTGCAGAGCTCCCTGGGATTAAGTTACTCCCATCTGTGCCCAGAAGGGGCCACCTGAAGAGATTGCTCCTTACCTGGACTTTCTGAGGTGGTATTCACTGATGGGGCAGGCGTTGCTACAGTTTGGTTATTGCCTCCTGATGAAGAGAACAGAAGAAACGTGGCAGCACTGCTTAGTATTGCCTGTTGGAAAAGCCTTGGGGAGCTCTGTGCATGCAGGACAACCACTGAGCATATAAGTGGTGGAGGACCAGTGAGGGGCTAAGCAGCCAAAGCCCTGAGCAGCCTTGCCCTGCCTTTGGGCACTGCCTGCATGTGATTCCTGTTTCATCTGATGTGTCTGTGACCCCTTGTCCCACAAATGCCAGGACATGAACAAGTGCCCCACACAGACACTGCCTTGCCCCCAGATTAGCTGTGCTCCCTGGCCACAGCCATACACGTGTTCCTCTTTGCTGGATAGATCTGTACATCCACCCAAGGAAGCACCACAGGGCCGGGAACATCTGTCAGAAGAGCTCGAGCTGGGCCATCAGGCTTGTACAGCCTGCACACCATCCACTCCCTGTAGGGGCCTTCCCCTCAGGATCATTCCACTGAAAGTTGGAGGTACAGGGTCATTGACTATGCTGGATAATTGTGATTGGAAAATTAGAATCTGGCAGGAAGGATGCAATCCTCCATAGCCCTCACGCAGGAAAAGCTGAGGGACTGGGGAGGCTGCCCCTCCTCTGCATGACCCCAGCTGTTGTTTCAACCTTGCTGGGTTGAAATGGGGAGTTGGCAGGAAGGTTGCAATCCTCCAAGGCCCCCATGCAGGAAGAGCTCCACTGCGTGACCCCAGCAGGATGTTCAACCCACCAGGATGGGGCTCCTCAGCACCACACTGGGACAGGCAGCTTGGCCAGGATGGAGGATCAAAAGGAGGGACTGCTCCCTGGTGCCCAAACACGGTCCTTGGCCTCAGCCTCGTGCTGCTGTGTGGCCCAGCTCACTCCCTGCCATGCTCCAACCAACCTCAGGCACAATTCCCTTTAGGGCACCAGCAGGGACTTCCCTGGACATGTCTTGTCAGGGATACTCTTGCACCAAGGCCTGGTACAGGAGGTGAGAGCAGCAAGCAGGAAAAGAATGCTTGCCTCTGATCTTCCCCAACATTTGAACCTTGCAGCAAGGAGCAGCAGGAAAATGAGGAGGAGTCGAAGGTATTCACAGCTTTGATCTGGGAACCTTTGTCTCCCCTGGGAGAGCATCTCAGGGAAACCTGGGCACAGGCACTCATCCCTCTCTGGGGACACTGCAGAGCTCCCTGGCATTGTTACTCCCATCTGTGCCCAGAAGGGGCCACCTGAAGAGATTGCTCATTACCTGGAGGTACTGAGGTGGTATTCACTGATGGGGCAGGCGTTGCTGCAGTTTGGTTGTTGCTTTCTGAAGAAGAGAACAGAAGAAACGTGGCAGCACTACTTAGCATTGCCTTTTGGAAAAGCCTTGGGGAGCTCTGTGTGTACAGGACAACATCTGAGCACGTAGCTGGTGGGGGACCAGTGAGGGGCTAAGCAGCCAAAGCCCTGAGCAGCCTTGCCCTGCCTTTCGGCACTCCCTGCATGTGATTCCTGTGTCATCTGATGTGTCTGTGACCCCTTGTTCCACAAATGCCAGGACATGAACAAGTGCCCCACAGAAGCACTGCCTTGCCCCCAGATTGGCTGTGCTCCCTGGCCACAGCTGTCTCAACCACAGCCACACACGTGTTCCCCCTGGCAGGAATGATCCCTCCACCTGCCCAAGGAAGCACAGCATTCTGTTACTCCCATCTGTCCCCAGAAGGGGCCACCTGAAGACATTGATCCTTACCTGGAGGTTCTGAGGTGGTATTCACTGATGGGGCAGGCGTTGCTACAGTTTGGTCGTTGCTTTCTGATGAAGAGAACAGAAGAAACGTGGCAGCACTGCTTAGCATTGCCTTTTGGAAAAGCCTTGGGGAGCTCTGTGCATGCAGGAGAACATCTGAGCACACAGGTGTGGGGAACCATGAGGGGCTGTGTCTGTGACCCCTTGTCCCGCAAATGCCAGGACATGGGCACGTGCCCCACACAGGCACTGCATTCCCCCTGGAAGGAATGATCCCTCCACCTGCCCAAGGAAGCACAGCATGGCTGGGAGCATCTGTCAGAAGAGCTCAAGCAGGACCATCATGGTCATACAGCCTGTACGACCTCCACTCCCCACAGGGGCCTTCTCTCCAAGACCACTCCAGTGAAAGTTGGAGACACAGAGTCACTGACTATGCTGGGCAATCGTGATGGGAAAATGGGAATCTAGCAGGAAGGATGCAATCCTTCAAGGCCCCATGCAGGAAGACCTGAGGGACTGGGCAGGCTGTCCCTGCTCTGCATGACCCCAGCACGAGCTCTGATAACCTGAATGGGGCTCCTCAGCGCCACACTGGGACAGACAGATTGGCCAGGATGGAGGGACTGCTCCCTGGTGCCCAAAGACGGTCCCTGGCCTCAGCCCTGTGCTGCTGTGTGGCACAGCTCCCACTCTGCCCGTGTCCAAACAACTTCAGACACAACTCCCTTCAGGACACCGGCAAGGACTGCCCTGGGAATGTCTTTGCTGGGATCCTCTTGCACCCAGGCCTGCGGCAGGAGGCAAGAGCAGAAGCAGGAAAACAGCAGCCTCCATATTCACAGCCTTGATCTGGGCACCATTGTCACCCCTGGGAGAGCATGTCAGGGAAGCCTGGGCAAAGGCACTCATCCCTCTCTGGGACAGGATCTCAGGGAAAGCTGGGCACAGGCACTTGGCCCTCTCTGGAGTACTGTAGAGCTCCCTGGCATTCTGTTACTCCCATCTGTGCCCAGAAGGGGCCACCTGAAGAGATTGCTCCTTACCTGGAGGTGTTGAGGTGGTATTCACTGATGGGGTAGATGTTGCTACAGTTTGGTTGTTGCTTCCTGAGGAAGAGAACAGAAGAAATGTGGCAGCACTGCTTAGCACTGCCTGTTGGAAAAGCCTTGGGGTGCTCTGTGCATGCAGGACAACCCTGAGCATATAAGTGGTGGGGGACCAGTGAGGGCCTCAGCAGCCAAAGCCCTGAGCAGCCTTGCCATGCCTTTGGGCACTCCCTCCCTGTAATTCCTGTGTCATCTGATGTGTCTGTGACCCCTTGTCCCACAAATGCCAGGACATGAACAATTGCCCCACACAGACAGTGCATTGCTACCAGCTTAGCTGTGCTCCCTGGCCACAGCTGTCTCAGCCACAGCCACACACGTGTTCCTCTTTGCTGGATAGATCAATACATCCACCCAAGGAAGCACCACAGGGCCGGGAACATCTGTCAGAAGAGCTAGAGCTGGGCCATCAGGCTTGTACAGCCTGCACACCATCCACTCCCTGTAGGGGCCTTCTCCCCAGGATCATTCCACTGAAAGTTGGAGGCACAGGATCATTGACTATGCTGGATAATTGTGATTGGAAAATTAGAATCTGGCAGGAAGGATGCAATCCTCCATAGCCCTCACGCAGGAAAAGCTGAGGGACTGGGGAGGCTGCCCCTCCTCTGTGTGACCCCAGCTGGTGTTTCAACCTTGCTGGGTTGAAATGGGGAGCTGGCAGGAAGGTTGCAATCCTCCAAGGCCCCCATGCAGGAAGAGCTCCACTGTGTGACCCCAGCAGGATGTTCAACCCACCAGGATGCAGCTCCTCAGCACCACACTGGGACAGGCAGCTTGGCCAGGATGGAGGATGAAAGGGAGGGACTGCTCCCTGGTGCCCAAACACGGTCCCTGGCCTCAGCCTCGTGCTGCTGTGTGGCACAGCTCACTCCCTGCCATGCTCCAACCCACCTCAGGCACAATTCCCTTTAGGGCACCGGCAGGGATTTTCCTGGACATGTCTTGTCAGGGATACTCTTGCACCAAGGCCTGGTACAGGAGGTGAGAGCAGCAAGCAAGGAAAAGAGTGCTCGCCTCTGATCTTCCCCAACATTTGAATCTTGCAGCAAGGAGCAGCAGGAAAATGAGGAGGAGTCGAGGTTATTCACAGCTTTGATCAGGGAACCTTTGTCTCCCCTGGGAGAGCATCTCAGGGAAACCTGGGCACAGGCACTCATCCCTCTCTGGGGACACTGCAGAGCTCCCTGGCATTCTGTTACTCCCATCTGTGCCCAGAAGGGGCCACCTGAAGACATTGATCCTTACCTGGAGGTTCTGAGGTGGTATTCACTGATGGGGTAGACGTTGCTACAGTTTGGTTGTTGCTTCCTGAGGAAGAGAACAGAAGAAACGTGGCAGCACTGCTTAGCACTGCCTTTTGGAAAAGCCTTGGGGAGCTCTGTGTTTACAGGACAACCACTGAGCATATAAGTGGTGGGGGACCAGTGAGGGGCTCAGCAGGCAAAGCCCTGAGCAGCCTTGCCCTGCCTTTGGGCACTCCCTGCATGTGATTCCTGTGTCATCTGATGTGTCTGTGACCCCTTGTCCCACAAATGCCAGGACATGAACAAGTGCCCCACACAGACACTGCCTTGCCCCCAGCTTAGCCGTGCTCCCTGGCCACAGCTGTCTCAGCCACAGCCACACACGTGTTCCCCCTGGCAGGAAAGCTCCCCCATCTGCCCAAGGAAGCACAGCATGGCCGGGAGCATCTTTCAGAAGAGCTCGAGCTGGGCCATCAGGCTCGTACAGCCTTGCCCGTGCTCCAACCAACCGCAGGCACAACTCCCTTTAGGATGCCAGCAGGGACTGCCCTGGGCATGTCTTTGCAGGGATCCTCTTGCTATCAGGCCTGGTACAGGAGGCAAGAGCAGCAAGCAAGGAAAAGGCTTGCCTCCTCAAATCTTGCTCCCTGAGGCAGAGAACCAAGGAGAGGAGGAGGAGTCGAGGGTATTCCCAGCTTTGATCTGGGCACTTTTGTCTCCTGTGGGAGAGCATCTCAGGGAAACCTGGGCACAGGCACTCATCCCTCTCTGGGGACACTGCAGAGCTCCCTGGCATTCTGTTACTCCCATCTGTGCCCAGAAGGGGCCACCGGAAGACATTGATCCTTACCTGGAGGTTCTGAGGTGGTATTCACTGATGGGGCAGGCGTTGCTGCAGTCTGGTTGTTGCTTCCTGAGGAAGAGAAGAGAAGAAACGTGGCAGCACTGCTTAGTATTGCCTTTTGGAAAAGCCTTGGGGAGCTCTGTGTGTAAAAGACAACATCTGAGCACGTAGCTAGTGGGGGACCAGTGAGGGGCTCAGCAGCCAAAGCCCTGAGCAGACTTGTCCTGCCTTTGGGCACTCCCTCCATGTGATTCCTGTGTCATCTGATGTGTCTGTGACCCCTTGTCCCACAACTGCCAGGACATGAACAAGTGCCCCACAGAGGCACTGCCTTGCCCCCAGATTGGCTGTGCTCCCTGGGCACAGCTGTCTCAGCCACAGCCACACACGTGTTCCCCCTGGCAGGAATGATCCCTCCACCTGCCCAAGGAAGCACAGCATGGCCGGGGGCATCTTTCAGAAGATCTCAAGCTGGGCCATCATGCTCATACAGCCTGTACAGACTCCACTCCCCATAGGGGCCTTCTCTCCAAGACCATTTCAGTGAAATTTGGAGACACAGAGTCACTGACTATGATGGGCAATCCTGATGGGAAAAAGGGAATCTAGCAGGAAGGATGCAATCCTGCAAGGCCCCATACAGGAAGACCTGAGGGACTGGGAAGGCTGTCCTTCCTCTGCGTGACCCCAGTAGGACCTTGAAATAACCAGGATGGGGCTCCTCAGCACCACACTGGGACAGGCAGCTTGGCCAAGATGGAGGATGAAAGGGAGGGACTGCTCCCTGGTGCCCAAACACGGTCCCTGGCCTCAGCCACGTGCTGCTGTGTGGCCCAGCTCACTCCCTGCCATGCTCCAACCAACCTCAGGCACAATTCCCTTTAGGGCACCAGCAGGGACTTCCCTGGACATGTCTTGTCAGGGATACTCTTGCACCAAGGCCTGGTACAGGAGGTGAGAGCAGCAAGCAAGGAAAGGAGTGCTCGCCTCTAATCTTCCCCAACATTTGAACCTTGCAGCAAGGAGCAGCAGGAAAATGAGGAGGAGTCGAGGTTATTCACAGCTTTGATCAGGGAATCTTTGTCTCCCCTGGGAGAGCATCTCAGGGAAACCTGGGCACAGGCACTCATCCCTCTCTGGGGACACTGTAGAGCTCCCTGGGATTCTGTTACTCCCATCTGTGCCCAGAAGGGGCCACCTGAAGACATTGATCCTTACCTGGAGGTTCTGAGGTGGTATTCACTGATGGGGCAGGCGTTGCTACAGTTTGGTCGTTGCTTTCTGAGGAAGAGAACAGAAGAAACGTGGCAGCACTGCTTAGTATTGCCTTTTGGAAAAGCCTTGGGGAGCTCTGTGTGTACAGGACAACATCTGAGCACACAGGTGTGGGGAACCATGAGGGGCTGTGTCTGTGACCCCTTGTCCCGCAAATGCCAGGACATGGGCACGTGCCCCACACAGGCACTGCATTCCCCCTGGAAGGAATGATCCCTCCACCTGCCCAAGGAAGCACAGCATGGCTGGGAGCATCTGTCAGAAGAGCTCAAGCAGGACCATCATGGTCATACAGCCTGTACAACCTCCACTCCCCACAGGGGCCTTCTCTCTAAGATCACTCCAGTGAAAGTTGGAGACACAGAGTCATTGACTATGCTGGGCAATCGTGATGGGAAAATGGGAATCTAGCAGGAAGGATGCCATCCTTCAAGGCCCCATGCAGGAAGACCTGAGGGACTGGGCAGGCTGTCCCTGCTCTGCATGACCCCAGCACGAGCTCTGATAACCTGAATGGGGCTCCTCAGTGCCACACTGGGACAGACAGATTGGCCAGGATGGAGGGACTGCTCCCTGGTGCCCAAAGACGGTCCCTGGCCTCAGCCCTGTGCTGCTGTGTGGCACAGCTCCCACTCTGCCCGTGTCCAAACAACTTCAGACACAACTCCCTTCAGGACACCGGCAAGGACTGCCCTGGGAATGTCTTTGCTGGGATCCTCTTGCACCCAGGCCTGCGGCAGGAGGCAAGAGCAGAAGCAGGAAAAAAGCAGCCTCCATATTCACAGCCTTGATCTGGGCACATTTGTCACCCCTGAGAGAGCATGTCAGGGAAGCCTGGGCACAGGCACTCATTCCTCTCTGGGACAGGATCTCAGGGAAAGCTGGGCACAGGCACTCATCCCTCTCTGGGGGCACTGCAGAGCTCCCTGGGATTCTCTTACTCCAATCTCTCCCCAGAAGGGGCCACCTGAAGAGATTGCTCCTTACCTGGAGGTGCTGAGGTGGTATTCACTGATGGGGTAGATGTTGCTACAGTTTGGTTGTTGCTTCCTGAGGAAGAGAACAGAAGAAATGTGGCAGCACTGCTTAGCACTGCCTGTTGGAAAAGCCTTGGGGTGCTCTGTGCATGCAGGACAACATCTGAGCACGTAGCTGGTGGGGGACCAGTGAGGGGCTCAGCAGGCAAAGCCCTGAGCAGCCTTGCCCTGCCTTTGGGCACTCCCTCCATGTGATTCCTGTGTCATCTGATGTGTCTGTGACCCCTTGTCCCACAAATGCCAGGAGATGAACAAGTGCCCCACAGAGGCACTGCATTGCCCCCAGATTGGCTGTGCTCCCTGGCCACAACTGTCTCAGCCAGAGCCACACACGTGTTCCCCCTGGCAGGAAAGCTCCCCCCATCTGCCCAAGGAAGCACAGCATGGCCGGGGGCATCTTTCAGAAGATCTCAAGCTGGGCCATCATGCTCGTACAGCCTGTACAGACTTCACTCCCCATAGGGGCCTTCTCTCCAAGACCATTTCAGTGAAAGCTGGAGACACAGAGTCACTGACTATGATGGGCAATCCTGATGGGAAAAAGGGAATCTAGCAGGAAGGATGCAATCCTGCAAGGCCCCATACAGGAAGACCTGATTGACTGGGGAGGCTGCCCCTCCTCTACGTGACCCCAGCAGGACCTTAAAACAACCAGCATGGGGCTCCTCAGCACCGCACTGGGACAGGCAGCTTGGCCAGGATGGAGGATGACAGGGAGGGACTGCTCCCTGGTGCCCAAACACGGTCCCTGGCCTCAGCCACTATGCTGCTGTGTGGCACAGCTCCCACTCTGCCTGTGCTCCAACCAACTTCAGACACAACTCCCTTCAGGACACCGGCAAGGACTGCCCTGGGTATGTCTTTGCTGGGATCCTCTTGCACCCAGGCCTGCGGTAGGAGGCAAGTGCAGAAGCAGGAAAACAGCAGCCTCCATATTCACAGCCTTGATCTGGGCACCTTTGTCGCCCCTGGGAGAGCATGTCAGGGAAGCCTGGGCACAGGCACTCATCCCTCTCTGGGGCAGGATCTCAGGGAAAGCTGGGCACAGGCACTTGGCCCTCTCTGGAGTACTGTAGAGCTCCCTGGGATTAAGTTACTCCCATCTGTCCCCAGAAGGGGCCACCTGAAGACATTGATCCTTACCTGGAGGTGTCTGAGGTGGTATTCACTGATGGGGTAGACGTTGCTACAGTTTGGTTGTTGCTTCCTGAGGAAGAGAACAGAAGAAATGTGGCAGCACTGCTTAGCATTGCCTATTGGAAAAGCCTTGGGGAGCTCTGTGTGTACAGGACAACATCTGAGCACGTAGCTGGTGGGGGACCAGTGAGGGCCTCAGCAGCCAAAGCCCTGAGCAGCCTTGCCCTGCCTTTGGGCACTGCCTGCATACCATGCTTTTTCCTCTAATGTGTCTGTGATCTCTTGTCCCACAAATGCCAGGACATGAACAAGTGCCCCACACAGACACTGCCTTGCCCCCAGCTTAGCCGTGCTCCCTGGCCACAGCTGTCTCAGCCACAGCCACACACGTGTTCCCCCTGGCAGGAAAGCTCCCCCCATCTGCCCAAGGAAGCACAGCATGGCCGGGACCATCTTTCAGGAGAGCTCGAGCTGGGCCATCAGGCTCGTACAGCCTTGCCCGTGCTCCAACCAACCGCAGGCACAACTCCCTTTAGGATGCCAGCTGGGACTGCCCTGGGCATGTCTTTGCAGGGATCCTCTTGCTATCAGGCCTGGTACAGGAGGCAAGAGCAACAAGTAGGAAAAGAGTCACCTCCTCAAATCTTGCTCCCTGAGGCAGAGAACAAGGGAAAGGAGGAGGAGTCGAGGGTATTCCCAGCTTTGATCTGGGCACTTTTGTCTCCTGTGGGAGAGGATCTCAGGGAAACCTGGGCAAAATCACTCATCCCTCTCTGGGGACACTGCAGAGCTCCCTGGCATTCTGTTACTCCCATCTGTCCCCAGAAGGGGCCACCGGAAGACATTGATCCTTACCTGGAGGTTCTGAGGTGGTATTCACTGATGGGGCAGGCGTTGCTACAGTTTGGTCGTTGCTTTCTGATGAAGAGAACAGAAGAAACGTGGCAGCACTGCTTAGCATTGCCTGTTGGAAAAGCCTTGGGGAGCTCTGTGTGTACAGGACAACATCTGAGCACGTAGCTGGTGGGGGACCAGTGAGGGCCTCAGCAGCCAAAGCCCTGAGCAGCCTTGCCCTGCCTTTGGGCACTCCCTGCATGTGATTCCTGTGTCATCTGATGTGTCTGTGACCCCTTGTCCCACAAATGCCAGGACATGAACAAGTGCCCCACAGAGGCACTGCATTGCCCCCAGATTAGCTGTGCTCCCTGGCCACAGCTGTCTCAGCCACAGCCACACACGTGTTCCCCCTGGCAGGAAAGCTCCCCCCACTTGCCCAAGGAAGCAAAGTACAGCCAGGAGCATCTTTCAGAAGAGCTCGAGCTGGGCCATCAGGCTCGTACAGCCTGCACACCCTCCACTCCCTGTAGGGGCCTTTTCACTAGGATCATTTTGCTGAAAACTGGAGACACAGGGTCATTTACTATGCTGGGCAATCATGATGGGAAAATGGGAACCTGGCAGGAAGGATGCAATCCTACAAGCCCCCCATGCAGGAAGAGCTGGGGCTCCTCAGCACGACATTGAACAGGCAGCTTGGCCAGGATGGAGAATGTCAGGGAGGGACTGCTCCCTAGTGCCCAAACACAGTCCTTGGCCTCAGCCCCGTGCTGCTGAGTGGCACAGCTCCCTTCCTGCCCATTCTCCAACCAACCTCAGGCACAACTGCCTTCAGGTTGCCAGCAGGGGCTCCCCTGGGCATGTCATTCCATGAATCCTCTTGTACCCAAACCTGGTGCAGGAGGCAGAGGCACCAAGCAGGAAAGCATCTCATATCTTCCCCAACACTTTTTCCTTGCAGCAAAGAGCAGGAGGGAAATAGGGAACTGTGGAGGATGTTCACATCCTTATTTGGGCATCTTTGTCTTCCATGGGAGAGGAACTCAGGGAAATTTGGGCAGGGGAACACATCTCCATGAGGACTGCAGAGATCTGTTGGACTTGGTTACTCCAATCTGTATCCAGAATTTTTTGCCTGAGGGGTTTTCTCCTTACCTGGATTTTTTGAGGTTGTTGGCACAGTTGTTGAAGCTTTTGATTCTTCTCCTCCAGTGGCAGCAGTGGTTTCTGATGAAGAGAAGAGGGTTGGAAATACTGGGGAACTCTGTGCATGCAGGACAGCTTAGGGGGAAGATACTTGCAAGGGGTACTGTTGGGGGCTGAACAGCTAGAACCCTGGGAAGCCTTACCTTGCCTTTGGGCTGTCCCCACACCTCATGCATCACTGTGTTATTTTTTCTCTTATAGTCATTTTCTCTGACCCTGCCATTGGACTCCTTATTACCAATAGCAGGTTTATACTTTCCCTGCCTTTGTCTTCTACAGGACTTCTGTTGAGTTGTAGGCACAAACATTTCTCCTGCTAGACCTTGTTAGAGCACAAACACTTCTCCTGCTAAGACCTTGTTAGAGCAAGGTCTGGGGTGTCCCATTCACTAGGACATGATCCCTGGGCTGAGTACTACTGGAGCATCATTGAAAACTCTCTATAGACTCTTTCAGAGCAGTGGAAGGATGACTGCCTTTGCTAGCACCTGCTCTTGTGCAAATTCATGTGGACAATGAAAGCAGACTATTTCTGTTCAACAAATGCTTGTTCTACTACATTATCATCAGTGGTATCAAGACCCTTTTTCCTGGATCACAATTCTATGCAGTCATGACAGTATTCATTATTTTTTGTCTTTTCCTTCCTTTTATAATTTTTTTCTGAATAAAAAGAAACCTGACTAATACCAGACAAAAGGTGACAAAATTTCCTCATATTTTGGTTTCAGCATTCCCTCTTATTGTGTTTACTCTTCCAAAGTATTTCAGATATTTAGTTTTAAGTTGGTTTGGTTTGGGTTTTTTTATTTAAACTGTGTAATTCTCAACTCTTGATATAAATAATGTGTTGAGGGGTTGATTTGTTTTTTTTTTTGGTTTGGGTTTTTTTGTTTGGGTTTTTTTTTGGTTGTTTTTTTTTTGTTGGTTGGTTTGGTTTGGGGTGTTTTTCCTAGAAGTAAGGAAAACAAATAATAAACCAGCCTTACTGATAAATGTGTGATACTGACAAATGGCCAGTTTGGATCATATGATCTAACTTTAATATGAATTAGTTAATATATATTTTACGAATAAACTTATTAACTCTGAGTTATGCTGCTGCAATCATAATTTAATCTAAAGCACTAATAGCATGCAGCTGGGGGACTAACGTATTTGTGGCTAAAATCTGTGTCACTATCACACTCTTCAAGCTGATGTATTAAAACATATTGCAAATCTCAGTAGACATTTGAAAAACAAACCCTACTTTTCTAGAGCTTTGCACGGCTCTGAAAATCCAAAGTGAGGAAAATCTAAACTTTTTTCTCCTAGTCAATAAAGCTCACGTAGAAAAAGGCATGTGAAAAAGACAAGTCATCCTTTTGTCTCCTCTATGTGAAGGGAAAACACGAGCAATTGTACCAGTTCTCTGCCAATTCTTCTGCCTCCACTGGTCACTGAGTTCTATATATAGCATTATGTGTTCCTAGTCAATGTAAAGAAATGTACATTTTTCCTATAACCATGATATAATATGAATCTGTGCTGGCCACAAGCAATAGATGTTAGGGCAACAACCCCTTAGACAACTAGCCATTTTTTTACAACAACTCAGCCTCAAAAGGCTCTGGCTAACAGTTGCCCAGGAGTACCCTTTGGACTCAGGAAGAACAGCATCTGGTGGTGACAGCAGAGCACATGAGCTACAGTTGAACCTTTCTGATGGACTTGTCAAAGGTAACCTGAGCAAAGGTGGCTAATTTATGGCTCTATGTGCCTAGACCTAACATTCTATGTAATGAATCAGGATACGTTAACGGATTTAAGCATTACTGTGGCAATAAAGAAATGGATATTAGGACCAGGATTATGGAACAGCAGAGACATCTGGCTGCTGAGCAGGGCAGGGCCGTTGCCAGTACTATTCAAATGGACACATCCTGCAAGGCTTTTACAGTGTTTACTTAGAAGCAAAAAGGTTTCTGGGCTGACCTATTCTGATGCAAAGTGAGTTCAAGTAACTGAAATACTCACATTACTTTCAGTAACTCTTGGGTTAAGATTTTTCACATCTTGCTGTTACCTACAAGCCTCCAAACAGAAAACCAACCAACAGTCCTGAAGACTTCTATGCTCATGATTTATAGCTGAAAGTTGGTCTGTAGCATATTGTAGATGTTGCTGGAAATACATATGTTCACTCACGGTGAACAGAGGCCCACAACCATCTGTCACCAATTGCAAGCTTAACAGGTCTTAATTTGGCTCATATCTCTGTAATTTTATCTTTGTATTGCCTGGGAATTCCTGTCCTCTCACACCTTCAAGTTGCCACAAAACTCTTTGTATAGTTGTTTTAATTCTGCTTCTGCTGATGCCTTCACCCCCTGATATCTCAGTATCAGGGAAAGGCAGGTTTGGGCGGAGGCTCTGACCCACAACAACCAAGTTTGTCACAATGCCAGAAAAAGTAGTAAGTAGCTTAAGGAATGACACCTGCCCTTTAGTTTGAACAGCCTCTTGCAAGCTGATGTGATGTTTCCGTTAATTTATTGCAACAGGAGGGAACAAAATCTCTGCGAGCCAGTTCAGGTGGCACTGCTTTCCAGACAAGGAGCCTCTGGCCGGAAGGGTACTGGGGTGGAACAGTTGCACCTTTTGTTACGACTGTAACAGAGCTTGAATTACCTGAGTTTAGTGTGGAAGTCCTGCAAACTGCTCTTGGAATAGGCTAAATTAGGTTAATCACAAGCACCAGTGATTTTGAATTGTTCTGTGAACAAGGCAAACTGTTGGCTTGCAGTGACATCTTTCATCATTAATTAATCAAAATCTAGACATGCTGAATTGTGTATCACCACTGACTTCTCAGCAGCTGCTGAAAGTACTAAGCAATCCATTCACTGCCACACAATAGCTGCCCTCATAAATCCCAAAACGGAAGATAGTGTTTCTTACCTTTCAAAAGGCCCAACGCCAGGCTGAGCAACACTGCAAGAAATAGACGGTGTCTCATTGCCGCTTCTGTTGCTGCTGCTACTTGCTGCTAAACCTTAGAGAAAGCGCTTTTCTCCTCTGGCGTCAGCTCATTTAAGGTCCCAGCCACAGGTAGAAAGTTCAGCCCTGAGCTGACGTCATGGTGGCAAGTGGCAAATGATAGATTCAAGCTGTGTTGTATTTCCTCCTCAGGCTGGGAGGAGATTTCTGGACTGGCAGCGTTCTTCCTTCAAGCCATAAATACTTGAGATCTGTGGACACAAGGAAGTTACTGCTAAATAAGCTGACATGGGAACTGAGAGCACACCAGCTATCTATCCCCTGCTAGTTTTCTACACCAACACCTTCAGTGCAAATTAAAGGGAGGGTGCCGTATAACCTGTTCTTAAAGTGGAAGAGATGATCCTATCCCAAGGAATGCTTATTATGCACTTGAAAAGAGTACCTGGGATCCACATGCTCACTTCTCTTGCAATGAATTACCAGTACATACAAGCTCTATGCCTCAAACTCTGATCGTTTCTTTCTTATAAGCAAAATCCTATGCCAAAGCACTTCTTACTCCTTAACAGGGTAAAAAGAAACAGAAAACACCTGCACCTTTGACATCAAAGAGGCAGGACTGACCTTGGCTTTTCTGGCAGTGATTATGGCTGTTTTGTTTGCTGCCATCTTATTTGTGTTGTGGGCTTGCTAAAGTGGTGGCCCAGCGGGAGGAGGAGCAGGCAGCACAGCAAGCAGGTGTTTGACTATATTCAAGTGGCAGCATTCGTTTCTTGAGAGGAAGTATTTTTAAGTAGGGATGGTCAGGCTGGAGCAGGAAGGCTGCAGGAGATCTAGAAATGACAAATAACCCAGAAGGCAATGAAGCAGGTAACACAGCTGTGATGCAGGGAAAATAGGTTGGAGACTTTTTGACATTGCATCCCAGGAAGCTTCTGAAAATTTCCAGATAGAGACCAAAGTGGGAAAAAAGGTCTCTCTAGGCAGGATTTGGCTTTTCCGAACTCTCTTATTTTTAGCTGCCTCCCCTGCCCAAGTTCTCCAGCTGAACAGTACGTTTTTTCTGCTTTGTGCTCTAGTAAAATGCATTGCTTGAGGCCATTAGAAATCAGATGGACCACAGCGGTTTCCAGTTCCTCCTTTTCAGGCAAAGGTATAATTTTTCTCACCTTGAAGGTCTAGGAGACCCTGTATCCTGCCACAGCTGCCAGTAAAGTCTTTCTGTGAAGTAAAGACAGGTTATCCCATTATTATCAGACACAGACAGGAAGGATGAGCAACCCACTGGTTATCCCCTGCAAAACCATGTCTAATGGCTGTGTAGTTGGTCTCTGGCAAACTCAGCTGCCAGCAACACTGGCCGGTTACAAACACACTTCTGAATGCCAAGTAACAGCTCTGTGAGTTTAACACCTCTCCCTTCATCTGCTTTTGTTTGATCTTCTGTTTTAAGAACAAGAAATGCAGTCACAGGTACTAATCTCCTATACTGAAGGGGTGGCTCTCCTTGTATGCAGGAGAGTGGGAGAGACCAGAAGTATTACGCAAGTCATTTCTCAGCTTAGGGTTGTCCTAAAATTTTACCTTGCACTGAACCAGGAAACTCTGTTGGCTTCCAGGCAGCAAAAATGGTCTTGTGCCTCTCTGCTGGCACGGGGAATGAATAGCCTTGTCACTCGTTACTCTGCCATGTGAACTTGCTCAGGGTGTGGAGCCTGAAATGTGGGATGACTTGTCTGCATGCTCCTTTGCCCCTCTGTCCCTGAAGCCCCTCCAGTGTAGCCTGCTCCCCACTCCTAATCCCCACAGTGACACCCTGGCAGCACCCGCCTTTCCCTACAGCAGGCTGGGACAGGCCCCCAGACCCCTCAGGAGCTGATGCTGAGGGGGACGTGCTGGGTTGGAAGCAGCCCACACTTGCTGTCAGAGAGCTGCAGGGCCAAGGGCACTGGGGGTACCAGGAGAAGCTGGGGCCCATTCCACTGCCCCCAGCTGGATGGCTGGGGCAGAGCCAGGCCTGGGTCGTTATGGGGGCCCTGCAGCCCCCTTCCCACTCTGGCTGCCTCTCCAGGCCATGCTGGATTCAGTTCCTGCCCCTGCTGCTACTCCCTCCCATGCCAGTCACCCAATCCAGCCCATTCAACTCCTCCAGGCCTCTCCTTAAAGCTCCACTTTGCCAAGGAGCAGACAGAAAAAGGGGAGGAAATGGCTGGGAAGTGTTTGTCCCCAGTGCGTTGTTCTTACCTGCTTGGTCAGCGTCCAGCCTCCATCCCAGGCCACCACCACCCTCCTAGATTCAGGGGCATCCAAAGGGGACATCCAAAAACTAATCCAAAAGTCTCATTAGAATAACACATGTCAGTGCTGTGATCCCCTCAGGTATCAGCCATCTGGGGGAGCCGCAGCATGTGCTTCAGGTGGAAATAGGTGTGCAGAGGGGGACAAATCTGGCTGTGGAGGGTGGTTTGGCACAGCTGTATGCCACCCATCCTCTGGTGATGTCCATGTCCCATGTCTAGACTCTTCAGTCACTGCAATACCATCCAGATTTTCTAGTGCTGCCTCGAGGTGCAGCTGGACTAACCCAGGTCTTGAAATCTCCCTGTTGGCTGTGAAGTGAGCGTGTAGGACCAAGAGAACTTCTCAGGGCACTATTGAAAATGAAGGTCAGGTCTTCAGCAGATGTAAATGGTGAAGCTTTGCTGCTTATACTAGTGTCTAAAGGTTGAATGTGCATCTGCACATTAAAACTGTTCTCTACAGTAAATGCACATCAGGAGCTGGTGTATTACTTGTATTTTTTTACTTTGTTTCTCTTCCTACCTAATTGTTTATATTTATTACAATCACAGTTTTGGCAGAATGAATCATTTGCAATGTAAAAGACACCCGTTCCTCCAGGAAATAATGCGCTGAACAGACATATGTCTTCACATACAAAAATTTTTGTCTCTACTTGCCTTTCCCTGTCCATTTTGTGACACACCAGTGGTCACAACAGGGTCTCTCCAGGAAGAAGGAGAGTGACAGGCAGTATGTGCCCCATTGCTTGCCAGTTGGTGGGGGAATTAGTAGTAGAGATTCAGTGGTTTAGGAGAACAGATGCAGAGAATTACCAAAACAGAAGAAATTATGTCAGTGAAAGATCAGCAGATACAGTTTCTAATGAAGTCGTTAGGCACACGTTTAGACGATAAAGAGTTGACTGATAGTCCAGACAAGCTCAACAGCCACAGCAGTTGTGATGTCCTGCAAGGAATTACGGAGAAAACCCCCTTTGAAGAAATAGCTAAATAGCTTTCCAGAAGCTGTAAAAACAAACCAGTGTGTGTCAAAGCTCAGATATGACGGTCAAGAACACCGAAAAATTATTATGGAGCAGAAACTATGCTATGTTTAGTAACAAACACAGTAGTTGTTCTCGTCAATGCTAGTTTATGCCAGCAAAAAGAAGTATCAGAAGTTAAAGGCCTTATTTATCTATTAGAAAGTTCATAGTCCTGTGCAACCTCATTATATAAGTTGCATGCAATCAAGGGGCAATCATGCTGGCAAAAGATATACAATAAAGTAGGAACACATAAGTGTCTTTTACAGCTCTTCATGTGAGTCAGCTCATTTCTTTCTTCCCACATATTTCTCAATCCTGTTCCTTACTAGATTCCTGTACATTTTGCTATCTCATGTAAATTTGGTTCATCCCCAATATATATTACATACACAAGCAGAAATATGTATTGTAATTTGCTAAAAGTTAAAAAAAAACCTTCAGAAAGTCTAAATCAAAGTGCTATACATACAGATTCATGCATAATCAGGGGAAGCAGATGCACTTTGACTTCCTTTCAGGTGGTTCCCAAGATGGTTGAAGGCACACATTGTGGATGCATTCAGTGGTCTCAGAGGCACTGGTATGCAAATCTGAAGTGGGTAGGACTGTTAAATCATGTGCCTGTCCATAACTCCAAAGATCTTTTATCTAGTCCCATGGCAACATTGTGAACCATCCTTTCTCCCTGCTAATTTCCTTAAAAGGTACCAACCATCCCTTCTCACTATTACTTTCCTTAAAAGGTACCAACTGTCCTTTCTCATTGCTGACTTCCTTAAAAGTTACCAATGTCACGTAGAAAGTAGAATAATTTGTAAGAGTCTTGGTAACAAAACTGAGGCACAGCTAACTGTTCTTCTCATGCAAATGAACAGAACCATAGAGTTCATCATATTTCTCTCCCCTTTATTTTCCCACCAGAGTCTTACTAGACAAGGAGCAGGCATAAAACGCTATTCTGTACTGTATCACAATAGAAAGTCGACAGAAGTTTCAGGATGTAGCAGGAAGTATGTTTCACACTCCACATTTCTCTGTGAGTAGCACTCACTTCGTCTGAGGCAGCTATCTGGTGTGGGGTCTTGGGTGAAGAGTGAGGGGTATCTTACCATGGGGTGAGCTACTCTCTGTGGATGCTTGTCTCTTTTCATGGCTACTGGAGGAGCCAGATGGTGAGTTCAAACTGGCCACCTAATTTTTGATAGGACAGATGAATCCCACCTTAGTCCCATCTGATTGCTATCACAGTCGTGTTGTACTGGTCTGGAGCAACATAGGAAAAAACTGTCCCAGCTGAACATACCTGCCATTGCTTCAAATGCTCTTCTACATCATGCCTTTTCCCAGCAGCCTTAGTGTTCATCTGGATCCAAGGTGCCCTCCTTCTTCCTCTGAGGGACACTCAGCTGTACATCCTTCACAGTCCCCGACAGCACTTACTGAGACAGGAGTGCTCTCACTGCGGTCAGGTCCAGTCCCTTGCACTTGCAAACAGCCCTTCTGCACCTGCCTCTCCTGAGGTTTTCCTCCCTTTCAACATGCACTCACACACATAAACACACAACTTCACCAGTTCCAGCAGGATGAAAAATTAAACTGAGGAAAAATTAAAATTAGACTGAGTTGCTCAGTGTTACCAAAGTAAACGTATCAGAAGACAGCTTGCATTTCAGCTGAGCAGAAGTCTGTTTGGCACAACGAACAGAACATACCCATTTCCTCATTGTTTTTCAGTTTAGTTATTTAATCAGGAGGCACCCAACGAAGAACAAAAGAACTATACAATTTCTTATTTTCTGGATTAGATTTCTAATTATAATT